ACACTCATGCCTACAAAGCCATATACTGTTTATCATATTCTTTGATATGGAATTTCATCAAAAGAAAGAATGATACTTGTAAATATTATTTGAATAAATCTATCTTTGAAGTCATAGTTCTTCAAAACAATATACATTGTGAACATCTCTATTGTTGTTTTCTGTTATTGTAATATTATGGTGATTGGCCAAAAGTCAATATTGGGAAATGTTTTTGATAAATTATAAATCTAGCTAAAAATAAAAAGACTGCCCGATTCTCTTTTTTTATAAATTAATCATAACAGGCAATATCATTCTAATAGACGTTTATAGAAATTTCTTCAGGTCATATGATTATTTATTGTTCATCATGGAAAATAAGTTATAAAATTGAAAAGAATTATGGCAAAATGTAAACTTATTATGTCTTTCACCTGTTCACTCAATATATTGGCTGGGTATAATATCACTTTAATTATGTATAATTGGATAGAAAAAACATTATAATTCAAACATATAATGCGGTGCTCCAGATTAACTTAATAACTCCGTTCCGTCTGCTTTGCTTTCCCTTTCGGTTTTTGTAAATATATGATTTTAAAAACAAATAAAGATCACTCAACTATTGTTGTACATGTACTCTCTCTCCTGTACAACAATGTCGAATGTTTCATTATCTTTCACTTTCTTACGAGAGGACATTCATTGAGCTGCAAAGGGTATGTGCTATTGTTTATGATTTGTTTTATTTTGTTATAAATGTACTATAAATTTGTTTTGAATATGATTTTATTTCTGTTGCATTTATGATTTTTTTAAAACGACCATGAACAATAATTAATCCTTATTTACTTTTTATCAAATTATCAATTTTATCTTAAATTATATTGGTCGACGTAACTCGAATGTTATTTATGCAAATCCTTCACACACTCACATTGTATAGGAACGTAAAATGGCTGAAGAAGCAGACAAAAACGGTGTTGATGCTGACTTAAAAACCAGGCCTCTTGTTTTTTAATGGAATTAATCAAATTCATACACATGTTGTCGTATCTATTTTATACAGGGCTGTAAAATGGCTGAAGGAGGTGGCACATATACATTAAATGACAGTTCTGATGTTGACTTTGATATCACATGCACAGCTTGTGGAGAAGACAGTATAAGAGAAAAGTATATATCAAATCAAATATTGTCTTGAATGCCAAGAGTACCTTTGAATAAACTGTACTAAGCATCACGGTCCAATGAAGGCATGTGCTTGTTGATAAGAATGCTGCCATACAATGCTTAATTGTAGCTAAAGCAAAATGCAACTACCACCCAGATCGTGACATTGAAATGTACTGCAAAACATATGACATAGTTTATTGTACCATGTGCATTGCTACAGAACATAGGTATAGTTTCGTATTAGACATATCATAGTAGTCACTTATGTCACTGTCTTATCTATTGGTTTAAACTATAAACGAATGTATTAGTTTGTTACTTCAACATGTGGTTTGATTTTTTATTGTACTCTTATTCTTTAATGCTGCATTCCTTGAACTAAACAGATAATCAGTGTGCAGATTTACTTTCAAAATGTCAACATGTTTTTCACATGATCATTATAGTTTGATTTTTTACCTGTCAATTATAAATACACGATAGCACTCATTTGAATATTCGATCCCACTTCCGTTTTGTCCATGTAGTTTACAAGAATTAATATGGAGAATATAACTAAGGTTTTGAAAAGTCAAAATTATATACGTGTAGATTAATTAATATATGGATCATTGGCACATCCGCATTAGCACAATCGGTCAGATGATTACCCAATATTTAAAAGGTTAATGTTCGATCCTTACTATTGCCTTTGTTAAAGAATTTTTTTGCATTATATTTGAATAGAAATAGTCGAGTACTTTGTCTACACATAAATGAAACAACTTAGAAGCACTGTTTTGTCTCGATTTTTATTTTGTATATGGCATTGAAATGATTTTTTCTTTCTATCCGAACGAAATTTAAATGTTAATTATTTCATCATTGTATTTTGAAAAGAGTTTAGACTCTAAGAAACTAAGTGCAAAACAAATTAAAACAAAACGAACAACATATTAACACTTATAGCTTCGATAATGTTGCAAATGTAAATAAGAAAAAAACATGGATCAAGCGGTTTCATCTTACAATTTGTATTACATTTAGAAATTATAAAGCCGTAGTTTACCATATTGTGCTATAACACTTCCAGACACAAATAAAACTTAATCAGATTTTACTGCGTGCATCTCAGGGAATCTATCGAAGGTTAATACATTGTGTGCATTGACCGTATAATAAGTATGCAATAAGCAAGTTAATAAAATCAAACAATACATAATATTAATAAATAAAGATTTGTATTGCATTCTTCTTTAGAGCTTGCGAAGGAATTACCAAAATAGAGGTAATATCTAAGCAAAGTGTAAATCAGACAGATATTCAACGACTGACAACGAAACGAAGGTGGCAGTGTTGAAAAGCAAAAATAGGTCGTACAGGAAATTATTTGTGCTACTGAAGTAAATTTGATTGAACGTATTAGAAAATTTAAAAAGGCTATAACTTAAGAAAAATTTGGGAATTAAAAGAAACCGAAGGTTTTCCAGGCTTAATGCAAAGCAACTGTTCGTTTACATGAAATTGATTAGTAAAATAATAACAGAGGCCTACAATTTACACAGAAGTGTTGAAAAAGATGAAACAAAGTTGTTTTTCACGGGGGATGAAAAGTTAGAAAGTTATGCATTTGAAACGGACTCGTTTGGTACAGTTAATATCGAAGTTAGACCACGAAAGACACGTTTACCAAACAACTACAAAATGAAGGCAAAGATAGAAGTGAATGTGAAGATTTCTAATGATGCGTCCTCATGTTTGATAATTGACATTTGCCAACTGCCCGATGGGCAAATTCTTTTGGCTGATGGTAGTAACAACTGGATGAAAACTAAAATATCACTTCTTGTAAATAAATACATTTTCTATGAATAGAGACAATTTCATATTATCATGTTGCTTCTGTCTGATAGAAGAAATAACTTTGTCCTTCCTTTAAATTAAGTAAGTTATACAGCTTTTTTGTACAGGATATTTCTTCCTAGCGGCTCAGGTAATATTTACAAACAAACGTTTATACAGGGCCATATAACCTGTCAAAAATCTTTATAACTAATAATATACACGGCTGCTGTCAAATTATAAAGAAATCTAAAAAAAGGAAATTTTGCAGTATTATAAATTCGTTTTAAATATTCCTGACAGGTTATATGGCCGAATATAAACGGTTATTTGTAATATATTTACAAACAACCGTTTATATAGGGCCATATAACATATCAACAATCTTTATAACTAATAATATGCATGGCTGCGATTACTTTATGAAGAAATCTCACCTTTTCTTTAAAAATATGCTTGTTGTATTATAAATTCGTTATAATATTCTTTATTTCTGACCTTATATAACGGTTGTTTACATTATAAAATAGACAAAAACAGAATCCCTAATGAACACTCAGAATGCAAAATTGAAAACACTCACCTAGCCACCATAAGAACTTGCACGAGGTTAATAACAAAAGACGTCTTGGCACTGGCAGCATTTAATGATAAATGACAATTATTCATAGGATGTAAATAAAAATCAGATAATCTCGCTAAACAGGGTGTAGTGTTTCTGCTTAGTATTTATGGCTTAGTATTTATGGCTTAGTATAGTATTTATGGCTTAGTATTTATGGCTTAGTATTTATGATTTTATATCAATAATCTTTTTTTAGAGATACTCATGATCGTCTCTGCATTATGCTGAATTACACGTACCGCTGCTATATTGATATTGTTTACGTTGGTTTCGAAAACATTCATTTTACCTCAATATTTCCGGAGACAGTTATCAATAAATTTACTTTAAATGCCACATCGTAATATGTTAAAAAACTAAAAGAAAAGATAAGAAAAACACCAAGAGTGTCTAGCTAACCGTACATTTAGGTCGGGCATCTCTAACTTAATGAACTGGGAGAGATTATACGGCCTCCACATAACAGAAACAATGCTGATGTGACAACAGTAATCCAACAGGTAGCGGCCAAGCATGACAAGATTAAAATGTTAAACGCTTCTTAAACGCTTCGTTTGATTGAACCTGTTGTAACATGTCCCCTATTTCAGGGTAATGCAGAATTATATATTTGATATGATTAAAAACTTATACAGCTTTGTAAATATAGAAAGGATCATAGAAATCTTTTGACACTAAAGTGTTTTTCCCATCTGAAAGCTCCAAATAACGTTTATAAAACGATGCGTGAGTTCTGAACAAGAAAATCATTGGCAGGACAAAAAAAACAACAGAGATTCGAGAGTGGATCAAAGGTTATGAACGTTTCGTATCACATGCAACTATCATAAATGGCATGATTTTAAGTAAAGGACATTTCCAATATCCGGTAAAACAATCATTTAATGATATAGATTATATAAAACTTGTCCTATCCCATTTAAACATGAAGTAAATATGCCTCAATCAAATCATGATAGTAGATGTGTAGAATAAATTCTTGACTGTGTTTTTGGAAAGGTAACCAAAATTCTCATTCAAATGTAGTTTTTACTAGAATTATAAAGTTATTAAAGTAAGATAGGGTCGGACGGTTATATGAGTATGTTATCAATCTTATCAAAGTCAATAATAATGAAAAATTAATATGATTGATTATATTATTATCAAAAATGTGTGCATGTCGTTTTTTATTTTTTTATTTTGTTTGTTTGTTTGTGTTTGTTTTTTGTTTTTGTTTTAAGATTTAGTAGCATACAGTAAACATTATTTAAGATACAAATCATCATATCAGAAAATGAAGATATGATAATTTTACATTAAAATGGTTACTAGTTTGTAGGTATACTTAAATGCTATCTTTATTTGTAACGATACACATGTATTTCGTTTAACAATGAATGCGACCTTAACTAGCTCTTTACGTCGCTGGATAAACAAGTGATACGGCGAACTTGATACGGGGACTTGATACCCTATATTCAACGTTAACAACGGCCATTAATATCAAACCGAAACAAGAATATAACTTCTTTCAGGACAAGGTAAACATTTCATTTCTAGTTCTGATGTTGTTTTTTAATGTTTGTGTTGGAAATTAGGTAAAGCTTTACACAATGTATTAATTCTATTAAAGCTGTGTCATGTGTATTAACGATTATTATGTTTTTAACGGATGAAAGGTATTTTTACATAATATCTAAAGAAATAAAAAATAACCGAATTAATTAACTAGGCAAGTAAAAAGGACTGAAATGTCCACTTTATAAATCTATTTCTGGCTTAAATGTTTCTTTATCGATCACAGCTATCTTGTATTTAAAATGAGGTCATGGATACATCTTACGTGTATTTTGTCTTGTTTCGGTTTCAACTAAACAGTGATAGTGCAGAAAACAACGATATACATATCTATTTCGCTGATGTAAATTTCAATGGTACATTTGAGAGTTTGAAGCGTAATAGCAACATATTGATTTGGCTTCAATTTGTCTTTTATACTTATAATAAGTATGCATGCAGTTTTAAAAAAAAAATGTGTCCGATATATCTGTGTCAAAACTGTACTGAACTTATCTGTGTCGTAGTGGGCAGGAATAATAATGTGCAATGGTAAAGCTTTTATGGATCAATTTACTTTCATTTATCACTGCAGAGTGTGAATTTTAGAAAAATATAGTTTTAAATCTCATTGCCTTATGATAAAACAAATACGGTGTAGTTTGAATTAAGAATGAAATTGGTTATTCACAATGAATTCTTGTTTTATTAGTTGGGGGACTGACTTGCACATATTATGTGTTTGTGGTTACATCAACATGAAATGATGCCATTCGTTATTTTGATCAGAGATGAAAGTTGATTAGTCCTTGATTGCATAGTTTCGACTGATAGGCCGAGAAAAAAACGTTATAAATCGTAAAGTTTTATCCTGTAAATAAAGGCGTATATAAAGGAGATACATACCATGCAAAGTTTAGATAAATTCTATAATACTGTCTTCTCTTTTGTTATATGTCTAATATCAAAAGTATATAGAATATGCAAATGTCATGATAGGCAATCAATAAGCCTTTTTACATTACTAAAAAGTGCTCTTTTAAAGTCAGAAGTAAAATCTCTTTTCTTTTTTTTCTTTTTATTATCATTTCTACATATTATTTTTGAAAATATAGATATCATCTCAAGACTGTCATTTTGCCATCTTCTATATGATATGGTCCGATGCGTTTCAAAAATATATGTGTTTGCCAGTAATGAAACACCTCGCCTCTTTCTTATATTCAGATGTAATTTACTGCCCTTCATGTAAACAAATAAAACAAATATGAAAACCAATAGGCTTTCCATTGATCTTATTCAATGCAATGATTATTACAGTGACTTTGTAATTCAAAAATAAATCAGCTTCACTGAGATCAAAAGCGTAAAAAACATAAAATTTGAAATTGTAACATAGATCAGATGAAACATTTAAAATGAAAAAGAAAAGTAAGGAAGATTAAGAAATATGCTCAAAATTAAATTAGATATCGATTTTTTGTTGTGCGGTTCTAAGCCGATTTGAGCGATAAGCATTGCAACATATTTCATTTTGGGCCATTTTGCATGATCTGAAATATTGGTCCTGATCCAGATCAAACGATACACAAATCTGGGGAAATTTTCCAGTCCTTTCATGTCATAAAACAATTATAGTTGAGCCCCGTTATATGTAAAGATGTGCAAAATGCTATATGTATGCTATATTTTTAGAATGTTGGGTTCATAACTTAAGTACTTAGAAACACGTAATAACCGGTATATTGATTTCCATTAGAGTCAATTATATACACACACATGTTGTCTTATCTATTTCATACAGGACTGTAAAATGGCTGAAGGAGGTGGAACACAGTTATTGAAAGATGGTTCTGATGCTGACTTTGATCTCACATGCACACCTTGTGGAGAAGACAATATAAGAGAAGAGGCTATCAAATATTGTCCTGAATGCCAGGAGTACCTATGTATCACTTGTAATCAGCATCATGGCCGGCTAAAGGCTACAAAGAGGCATGTAGTTGTTGATAAGGATGCTGCCAATCAATGGTTAGTTGTTGCCAAGGCCAAATGCCATTACCACCCAGATCGTGTCATTGAAATGTACTGCAAAACACATGATATGGTTTATTGTGTTATGTGCATTGCTACAGAACATAGGTATAGTTTCATGTTAGACATTTGGTATTATTATATGCAAATGTAGATAAAATAAGTAGTAGTTTTAGTTGGTACATTTTTTGTCAAATTAATATAGTTATGTTTTACAACTTCAATCAGTTTGCCATTATTATGCATTGATTGCTACCTGCATGTTTCATAGACATTACGTTATTTAAAATACCTACAAAACTAAATTATATATCATTTAATAATCATTTTCTTATTCAAGAGTGTGTAAGGGCGTAAACAAAATAGCGGATGTGTCGAAATCGTGTGTAAATCAGACAGAGATTCAACAATTGTTAGACGAAACAAAGAAGGCAAAAGACGTCTTGAGTACCACGGTAATTAAACAAAATGATAATCTTACAATCATTGATAAGCAGAGGGAGGTAATCAAAGAAAAACTAGGTAGTACTGAAATGAAGTTGATAGAGCAAATCCGTCAAATAAAGATAAGGACAGAAGATTGTTTAAATGAGAAGCATGCCTCTTTGAAGGAAAAACTCAATTTGAGCATCGACCAAACTTCTTGCAATATAAAGGAGTTGAAAGAAAATGAAGAACAGCTGCAAACGATTGGAAACCTTGATATAGAGCAACAATTTGTTCACATGAAATTGATGAGGAAAGCTACTACAGACTCCTTTAATTTACAAACAAGTATTGAGTCTGATGGTACATTGTCCATATATTACACAAATGATACAAAATTGGAAAGTTTGGTCATGTCAGCAAATTCTTTAGGTCAGGTGATGTCAGAAGATGGGACCAAGAAAGTTTCTGAACCAAAACACTACAGAATAAAGTCGAACAGAGAAATCAATGTGAACATGTATAACGATGAATCACAATGTAACATAGCAGATATTTGCCAACTCACTGATGGGCAGATTCTTGTTGCAGACTATATCAATGTGAAAGTAAAACAACTTGATACAAACTACAAAATAACAAACTCCTGTGGCCTTGATTCTTACCCTACCGGTATATGTTGTATCAGTAGAAATGAAGTAGCTGTAAAAATGGTAACAGACAAAATTCAGTTTATATCAACTGAATCATCAAATCTTACTAAGACAAGAGTTATTTCAATAGAAAGTGGAAGTTATTATGGAATGATATATTTTGACAAGGAAATATGGGTTTCTAGAGAACATGGCATTGATATATACAATATAACAGGAACACTTACAAAAAGGATAGGTGAAGATAAGTCACCCAAGACTAACTTTAAATCAATATCTATTCAAAATATGGCCGTTTCGGGTGACACGGTTATTGTGACAGATTACTCTGACGGTGCTGTGTGTTTGAATAAGGATGGTACAGTTTTGAGAGAACTTCGGGATGGAAAGCTGGATACAACTCGAGGTGTTTGTGTAGCTGATGATGGCACTGTCTTCTTGTGTGGGTATGATTCCAATAATATTGTGATGTTCAGTAAAGATGGAAAATGTCTTGGAGAGTTAATTGCAGCAGATCCTGGTTTGAAGATGCCTATTAATATGTTATTTGACAAAGTAAACAACAACATTATTGTAACATGTGACTGCAATGACAATATTTATATCATAGAACTGGAATAATAGTATGTTTCAGTATAATCAATCTCGTATACTCATTCTATTTGAATAAATTCATTTTCTTGTGGAAACTCTTGATCACAAAATATCAAACCATTGATTATAAATATATATTGGCATAATACATGTGTAACTTGCTAACTAATATATAAATTTTACATTTACAATGTATGCGATTCAAAATGGTGTTTGTATCCTGCTGAATTTGTGGGATGCATTTTGTAACATTTCATTCAAAATTTAAGGAATATCAAGATCAAAATACAAAAATTGAGCTACCAGCAGTAGAGTAGCAAAAAACCTGATACTCTGGTCAAAGTGCATGGATGTTGACAAGTCAAAGCTATGGTTTTAAAAGATGGGGTTAAAATAATGAGTATGAGAAGAGTCATGTGTACAATTGTTCTCATATTTTTTGCTTGGTTTCAGTAACAATATGTATATTTTTTAAAAGTTCGTGATAATTAATGAATGTATACATACCATATATATGTATTACAAACTGGAATAAATTTCTGTAAAATTTAAGTAGGGTTAAGAAATAGTGATCATTTTAACGGTATTTTATAAGCATATTATGCCGTTATAAAAACAACACATTTCCAACACACCCCATTCTGATGCCTTTCCCAATCCCCGCTCTGCAGCAAGTAAAAACAATGATGGCCTATTTATCTCTCCTCTGGGTAAAACTGTAGCTACTTCACTTATGATCTCTAATGATGATTTTCAGAGAAAATCCATGATAAAAAAAGTGACCTAAAATATCATGCAAGTGCAGAGCGTCATGTAAGGTACGTAAACGAGTACACATATGTTGTCCATAAGTTGTCCTACAATAATGGGGGTTTCATGAAGACAGTAGGAAATATACAATCTGAATGATCCTTACTCAAGCAATTTCAATCAAATACCACATACTAGTAAATGGTCTATCAAAACTATCAGATGTTTGTATAATTTTTGAATACAAATGATGAAGACTACTTGCGGTAAAAGGAAACAATAGCTGTACTAAAAGGAAACAAAAGCTTTGCTGTCATTGTCTTTGATCAAACACAATTGTGGGGACTCATTCAAGCATTTAATACTAAATATTGGCCAGTCGTAAAAGTGGCATTTTGAAAAGTTAAGTTTTTTAGTCGCCAACAAGGTCATACTATACATCGAATAGCTATATAGAATGCATAGTGTGGTTTCCCTGTCTTTGTAAACAAATTTCACCAGGTGAGGGGTCATTTTGAAATGCATTCCAATTTTAAAACAAAAGAAGTATTCCAAGTTAAAAGTGATCAGATTTGACAATCTTTGATACATTGATCTTAGCAGAAAAAAAATACATAACTAAGAGCAACCCAAAGGCGGGGCAATATACGATCGTATGTAAATTTGTTTGAGGAAAGATGGAGGCCTTTTCTACCTTTCTTCAAGGTTTGGGCTAAAAATGCTAAATGGTCTACTTTTTGCGATCTCAATAATTTAACCAGTTAGTTTTTTATGTTAACAAACAAACCTGGCTTTATGTATGGGTATTGGAATTACTTCTTGTAAGCAAAATGGCTTGACTTATTGTGGCAAGTGGTATACATTCTCATCACTATCCATTTAAAGGTCAACAAATGAAATAAAAACACTTTAAATATCTAATGGTTTTAATAATTTTCTAAAAAATAACATGAAATACAATGAGGAAACAATATAGTCAAGATGAAATCACTATAAAATGTAAATGTCTGACAGTTTTCATCAAAAACAAAAATGCATCTTTTCTCCTCTATAGAAATTAGGAATGTCCGCTATAAATTAAAAACAAAATATTAATTTGGTTTCAACCATAAAATATAATCTGGGTGTATATATAGTTCAACCGGTATGGGCTTACAAGTTTCTTGCCATCAGAACAGAAATTAAAAAGCTTTACAATATCAAATTAAATCTTACATCGTACATGTACCAATATCCTATACAGTTATCTCCCTTTATAAGTGCAATCTGCCATGGAAGGGTATCACTATGAGGAGTTTGACATTGTACTTTCTTATAGAGTCTTTTTGTAGTGACAGTTAAAAATTATTAAACATAATTTTACACATTAGCGCAACACAGAACTTTATCAAATAAACTTTATTCATTTATGTAATGATTTCCTTGAAATAAACAGAGAAAATTCTATATAATTTTTACAAAACTTTTACTATTATAACTGGAAAACCAAGTGAAAAGTCATTTATTTCACACACAAAAAAACAACAATTATTTAAAACACAAAACAACTGGTAAATTAAATGCATTGTTGAAAGATATTTTACATGACTTTTTGAAACTTTTACAAGAAATATGAAACCATAAGAAAAATAATATAATTATTTTTAAGAAGTTCATGAAAAATGTTTTTAATGGAAAAGGGAGTACTTCTGTTTAAAATAATTCAAATAATGTTTTGAAACAAAACAATTTCAATGTTTCCTGGAAAATGTTTTCAAATTGAAGAAGAAACTGTCTACTATAAATAATTTTATGAAGCTAATGTTTTGCTTCTCACACATTCATATGTTTAACTTTATAGATTTGAAAAGAAAAATGCTTGATATATATTTTGGCACAATAAGGAACCATATATGAAAAATAAATGTCCAGGGCTATCATGTGTTAAACTGGTAGATTAACTGGTAGATTAAAATAATATACATAATAATTGTTGATAGCGGACCAGTTTTGAAAATGGAAATGATATTCCAATGATATTCATACTTCAAGATCCTGTAATGCATTTTGTATGGTTTTATATAATAATCTGATGCTCAAATGAATATTTATCAATTTTGGAAGTTTCCGAAAGCATTATTTGTAAAGATATTACCGAATTTAACATATCATGTAAATACAGTGAGACAATAAGAAATTTATTTTCGATAAAGTCTTAACCAGCGTTTTCAATAAATAAATAAATGCTAACGTTTAATTATAATGTGAATAAGCATTAAATTTTGCTGTATATATTTAACGTATTCTTGGATGTTTGGAAATTCTTTTAGAAGAATTATTATGTATATATATAAAACTTCACTTAAATGCATGTAACATCTTTAATTACGACATATAGGATCGTTTTATTTAGGACCCCACATTTCAACCCATCATACAATTATATCATGTGTATTGACTGGTAAGGCTATACATATGTGACGGCTGACCATGCTTTATTATAAAAAGTGATTAGTTAATAAGTCATAAATAAAAAAAAAGTTCACCAGTACATGTATATAACATGAAATGTCCTATAAAACAGTATATGATAACAAAAATAGACAAACAAATTGAGTAATAACAAATGGGTAAACCTTTCAACAGTTTTCAACTTTTCGCTGCATAGCCTGTTAACAAAATTAAAATTTAACATTAGTATTCAGCACCTTTTAAAAGTCATTCATGTTATAAACATTATCATTTCCTTATGAACAAAATTATTTTTATCTCCCTTCAAAATGTTACGTAGAAATTAATTCCATTGTTATTTTTTCTATGAACAAAAGTCGTTTGTAAAAAAATTCTAACTCCTATCAAAATGTAATTACATATTAATTCTCTATTTCACTAAAATAGACTCTTCTCCAACAGGTATATGTTGTATCAACAGAAAAGAGATAGCTATAAAGATGGAAAACAACAAAGTCCAGTTTATATCTGTTACATCTAAGACAAGAGTTATTTCGATAGCCAGTGGGAGATTTTACGGAATTTCAACGAGGAGTTATGAATTTCAACGTCGGATGACATTGACATACACAATATATAGAATAAACATTTATCAAAGGAATAGACAATAAAAAGTCACGTAAAGCAATATTCAAAAATAGCTTTGTTCAGCTCGCTCAAAGATGTTTCTGATGAAACAGTAAGTGTGACAAACGTTTGAAAACGCGCCGTTTGTTTGGAAAAATGGTACATATGTAGGGGAACTGATGCGAAACTGAATGCATGTAGGGGTGTCAGTGTAGCTGAAGATGGTACAGTGTTCTTATGTGGATATATTTTCAACAATATTGTGATGTTTAGCAAAGATGGCATACGTTTTGGAGAGTTATTTGGGAGAAATTCTATCTTAAAGAATCCTATTAATATGTGTTTCGACCAACATAAAAACAACATAATTGTAACATGTGAAAATTCCAACAACAGAAATGTATTTGTGATTGGACTAATATAATATGATGTCTTTCATTTGAACTCGTTTCGTTTGAATATATCATAGTTCTTTTAGAAGCTCTGTTGCAGATAACCAATCAATGACATTAATTTTTATGTTTTATGATGACGTTACTTAATAATACTTATATAACATTTATTTGGGGACAAAACTTTCGTTGTAACTTTGATGAACTTTTCAAGCTTGTTTTATGATTTATTGAAACAAATGTTGTTTTTTTTTAAATCAAATGATGCCCTTTCTTATTGATAATAAAATAAAAACGGAAGCAAGGGTTTGTAAGTCAAACATATCTGCGGACCTCTGTTAAATTATTCATGGATAACTTTCTTGTAAAAAAATACATTTTCTATGAATGAAGACAATTTTATTTAATATCATGTTGCTTCTGTTTTGTTCACTAGATAGAAGAAACAGCGTTGTCATTTCTTCCAATTTAGCTAATAATATGTATATTATTAATTACAAAAAAAATTGACAGGTTATATGTCCCTATAATATTTTACATCGCAAACAACCGTTTATATACGGTCATATCAACTGTCAAAAAACTTTATGACGAATTTATAGAACAGCAAACGTCCTTTATTTAGGGAAAAATGAGATTTCTTCATAAATTCATACATTGACAGTAGCCGTGTATAATATCAGTTATAAAGATCGTTGACAGGTTATATGGCCCTATATAAACGGGTATTTGTAAATATAACTCGAGCCGTTAGGCGAGGGTTATATTGCAAACAGCCGTTTTTATAAAACTGCACGTTTGTAACGTCACTTTTCATGGTTTTATATACACGGCTGTTGTTAATTTATGAAGAAATCTCACTTTTTTTTCTTAAAAAGACGCTTGTCGTATCATTTATTCGTTACCGTATATAAACAGTTGTTTGCAATATCAAATAGATAAAAAACAGAACTCAGAACTTCAAAATTGAAAACCCTCGCCTAGCTACCATAAGAACTTGCATGGGGTTAAAAACAAAGACCTCTTGACACTTAAAAAATTAAATGATAAATGACAACAGGAAGTAAATGAAGAAGATAATCTCCGCAAAAAACGTATTGTTCATGCTTAATTTTTATAGTTTTATATCAATAACCGTTTTCATTATCGTCACTGCATTATGCTAAATTACATGTTCTACTGCTACGAGGTCTGTTCGAAAAGAATTGCTTACTGTCCTTTATCTCGTGATCCACGTGGGACACGATAAAACTGTATAGGGTAATTAAATACCTAAACAACGGTGTATAAATGTACATGTTAGACTAGGTGTAAGACAAACAATTTGCCATTTAAATACCCTCTGTAGTAAAAATGGTTGGTTTCTGCGTCGACAAAAAGATGAAATACGGGCTTACATCAAAGCTCGCTCAAAACTGGGTTGCTTTTTGACGCAGTTGATGGCTGAACTCTCTACTGCTTATGTGCCTTCTTGTGTGTCTTATGACACAGTTAGGCGATGGAAAAAGAAATTTGAGTCTGATGAAGAGTGCATCAAAAATGCACCAAAATCAGGTAGGCCAAAATCTGCATCTCGTAACGAAATCGTTTCCAACATAAAGGATATCATTGAAGGAGATGCCAGATTTACAGTTCGTGATATTGCATGAAAGGTAGGCATATCACTATTAACGGGTCACTTTACTTTGAAGAAGCATTTGAAAGTCAGAAAGATTTCTGCTAGATGGGTGCTACATCTGTTGACCGATGAGCAAAAGAGGCAACTAGTTAAGGTGACCAAAAGGCTGCTTCAAATGTTTCCAAAATATGACAATAAACATTTTGCCAATGTCGTCACAGGTGATGAATCTTGGGTCCATTATTTTGAGCCCGTCAGAAAAGTTAGCAACAAAATCCGGGCCACTAAACACAACAAACGCCCTATAATTACCAAACGGTCTTTGAATGCAATTTTCTTCTCTGATGAAGGAGTCGCAATAAAAGTGCCGATGAAAAAGGGCAAAAGTATCACTGGGAAGTACTACAAAGACATAGTCCTTAAGAAACTGAAAATGTATTATAACAAAAGACGCCCTGTCACTGGTTTTAAACATATCCGTCTTCTACATGACATTGCCCCCGCTCATACCTCCGCAATAGTTTCGGCGTTTTTGAAAAAAAGAAAACGTAACTGTTTTGCCTCACACACACACCCCCCGTATTCTCCAGACCTTGCCCCATATGATTTCTTTTTGTTTCCGAAATTGAATTTCTTCCTTGCTGGGAGGAAATACAAGTCCCGACAGGCACTTGGATCTGACATTCATCAGTACCTTATTACTGTGCCCAAATCAGCGTACCGTGACGCCTTCAAGAAGTGAATAAATCGGCCGAAACTTCGCATTTTCTAGCCACGGGGAGTGGCATGAAATGAACACTTTTGAGCTAACTTGAAATTTGAAGTCTGCAGATAGAAATAAGCAATACATTTCGAACATCCCTCGTATATTGATACTTCTCTCCGTTTGTTTCGTAAACATTCATTTGACCCATATATTTCTAAAGAGTGTACTTTTAATGTCACATGGCCAAGCATGACAAGATAAAAATGTTTAATGCTTCTTAAACGCTTCGTTTGATTGAACCTGTTGTTACAGGTCCCTATTTCAGGGTTATATGCAGAATTAGATATTTGATATGATTAAAAATTTGCAAATCATACAGCTGAATTTTGTTAATATAGCAATTTTCATAGGAATCTATTAACACAAACGTGTTTCCCATTTAAAAGCGGTGTGTGAATGCCAAATCAAATTTATAAAACGATGCGTGTGACAAAGGTTATAAACATTGCGTATCATAGAGGGCTATAAGTGAAGACATGTTTTTAATTAAAGGATGATTATACATATTTAATATTAGGTAAAACAATCATTTAATGATATTAATAGATTTTACAAAAATTGTCATATCCCATTTAAACACGAAGTCAATATGCCTCAATCCAATCGATATCATGGCCATAGGTTTTGTAGAATAAAATCTTTACTATGTTTTTGGAAAGGTAACCTTGAAGTAAAACAAACTTGCATAATTTCTCATTCAAATGTAGTTTTTACTAGAATTATAACGTTATTTTAGTAAGATAGGGTTTTTAATAAGTTAATAATAATGAAAAATTATTATGTATGTCATCATTATGTTATTATCAAAAATGTTGAATGTTGTTTTTTATTTTTTTAAAACCCTAATAGTACCCTTTGAAAATTTTTTAAAAGATTCAATTTCAAAAATCACTTTAAAAAAGAGATATAAATAATTTTAAAAATTTTAAAAATTTAAATGCCCTTTGGGTGGCATTTAAAATTTTACATATTTTTTTAAATTGTAATTTAAAAAACCAAATTTTGAAAAATTAAAAAAAATTCGTTTAACAAGGGGAATTCCCCTTTAAACCCAAAGCTGTTTACGTTGGGGCCTAGAAAAACAATTTGAAAACCCTAAAAACAACGTTTAACAACGGCCCATTAATTTTTAAAAACCGAAACAAGAAAAAAAACTTTTTTTGGGGCCCCAAGGGTAAAAGCTTTTAAATTTTTTAGTTCGATGCTGTTTTTTTTCCCAACGTTTGTTTTTAAGAAATTTAAGGGTTAAAGTTTATACACAAGGAAAATTAAATTTCTATTAAAATTGTGAATTAACGATTATTTTGCTTTTAAAGGAGAGAAAATCATGCATGAAAGGTATTTAAGTGTTCAAATTAAGAGAAATTTTACATAATATCTAAAAAAAAAATAACCGAATTAATTAACAAGGCAAGTAAAAAAGGACTGAAATGTTCACTGTATAAGTCTATTTCTGGCTTAAAAATTTCTTTGTGTTTTATCGATCACAGCTATATTGTTCTGAAAAGGAGGTCATGGATACACCTTACGTGTATTTTGTCTTGTTTTCGGTTTCAACTAAACAGTGTTGTAGAAAACAACGATAAACTCAATGCAATTTATAACTATTTCGGTGAACGGTTCACATATCACCTTTAAATATATGTAAAGTTCGATGGTACATTTGAGAATTTGAAGCGTAAAAGCAACATATTGAGTATTCAATTCGGCTATTTATACTTAAAATAAATGTCAATTTACAAATATTTTAAACTGATCCATATGTGATGTAATTCATACAGATCTCTCGGCTATCATGAAAAATATTGAGCATATTGATCATGAAGAGGAAAATGTACAAACGCTGACTGAATTTAAAAAGCTCATTGAAGCATGCTCGACATTAAATTAAGGCGTGAAAGATAAATATATAGCATTGTATAATCATTAGTTTAAGAACTTGCTATAAGTCACACAGTAGAAATACGTATGTTGAAGAATATTGTAAAATCAGTCATTAATAGCACATAACATGCCAAATATCACTTGAATCTTGACCCTATTTACTATTCTTAAAATCTTACATTTTTCACTAGTTTGATTTTCCTGAACTATTTTGGTTCATCTGGATGCATGTAGCTTTAAGAAAAGTGTGTCCGATATATCTGTGTCAGAACTGTACTGAACTTATCTATGTCGTAGTTGGCCAGAGGAAGAATAATGTGCAATAATAAAGCTTGTATAAATCATTTTACTTTCATTTATCACTGCAGAGTGTAAATTTTAGAAAAATATAGTTTCATATCTCATTGCCTAATGATAAAACAAATACAGTGTAGTTTGAATTAAGAATGAAATGTGTTATTCACAATGAATTCTTGTTTTATCAGTTGGGGGACTGACTTGCACTTTTTTCAGTTGTACATATTGTTTTTGAAAATATCAAAAGCATCTTAAAATTGTCATTTTGCTATCTTCTATATGATATATGGTCCGATGCGTTACACAAATATATGTTTTTGCTAGTAATGAAACACCTCGCCTCTTTCTTATATTCAGATGCAATTTACTGCCCTTCATGTAAACAAATAAGACAAATATGAAAAGCCATTCTTATTTATTGAAATATTTATTAAAGTGACTTTATGATTTAAAATTAAATCAGCTTCACTGAGATAAAAAGCGTAAAAAGCATAAAATTTGAAATTGTAACATAAATCAGATAAAACACTTAAAATGAAAAGGGAATTAAAGGAAGATAAATAAATATTCTCAAATTTAAATTAGATATCGATGTTTTGTGCGATTCTAAGCCGATTTGAGCGATAAGCATTGCAACATATTTCATTGTTTGGGCATTTTGCATAACCGAATTGAGTATTCAGGAAAAAAGAGGTGAGAGAATGATCTGAAATATTGGTCCAGATCCTTTTAAAATGATACACAAATCTCTGGAAAATTTTCCAATCCTTTCATGTCATAAAACAATTATAGTTGAGCCCCGTTAAATGTAAAGATGTGAAAAATACTATATGTATGCTATATTTTAGAAGGTTGGTTTACAAAATGTCAGTTCATAACTGAAGTACTTAAAAACACGTAAAACCGGCATAATGATTTCCAGGAGAGTCAATAAGATACACACATATGTTGTCTTATCTATTTTATACAGGACTGTAAAATGGCTGAAGGAGGTGGAACACAATTAATGAAAGATGGTTCTGATGCTGACTTGGATCTCACATGCACACCTTGTGGAGAAGACAATATAAGAGAAGAGGCTATCAAATATTGTCCTGAATGCCAGGAGTACCTTTGTATCAACTGTACTCAACATCATGGTCGACTAAAGGCTACAAAGGGACATGTGGTTGTGGATATGAATGCTGCCAAACAATGCTTAGTTGTTGCCAAGGCCAAATGTCACTACCATCCAGATCGTGACATTAAGATGTACTGCAAAACACATGACATGGTTTATTGTGTTATGTGCATTGATACAGAACATGGGTATAGTTAAATGTTATACACATGGTATTATTATATGCAAATTTATTTAACATAAGTAGTTGTTCAATTTGGTACATTATTTGTCATATGAATATATTTACGTGCTACAAATTCAATCAGTTTACCATAATTATGCATTGATTGCAACTTGCATGTTTTATAGATATTAAGTGTATTCAAAATAACTACGGAACTAAATCATAAATCATATAATAGTTATTTTCTTATTCAAGATTGTGTGAGGGCGTAAACAAAATAGAAGCCGTGCCTAAATCGTATGTAAATCAGACAGAGATTCAACAATTGTTAGACGAAACAAAGAAGGCAAATGACGTCTTGAGTGCCACGGTAATTAAACAAAATGATAATATTACATGTATTGATAAGCAGAGGGAGATAATCCAAGAAAAACTGGATGGTACTGAAATGAAGTTGATAGAGCAAATCCGTCAAATAAAGATAAGGACAGAAGATTCTTTAAATGAGAAGCATGCTTCTTTGAAGAAAAAAATCAATTTGAGCATCAGCCGGTCTTCTTGCAAAATAAAGGAGTTGAAAGTAAATGAAGAGCATCTGCGAACAATTTGCAACCTTGATGTAGAACAACAATTTGTTCAAATGAAATTAATGAGGAAAACTGCTACAGACGCTTTAAAGTTAGAAACAAGCATTGGGTCTGATGGTACAAAGCCCATTTCTTTCACAGGTGACGAACAGTTGGAAAGTTTGGTCTTGGCAGCAAATGCTTTAGATCAAGTGATGTCAGACGATAGTGCCAAGAAAGTTTGTGAACCAAAACACAACAGAATAAAGTCGAAGAGAAAAGTATATGTGAAAATGGAAAACGATGCATCAAAATGTAGCATAGCAGATATCTGCCAACTCACTGATGGGCAGATTCTTGTTGCTGACTTTGGCAATAAGAAAGTCAAACAACTGGATGTAAACTACAAAATAACAAACACATGTGACCTTGATGATTCCCCTACAGGTATATGCTGTATCAGTAAAGACGAAATAGCTGTGAAAATGGCTAACAATCAAATCCAGTTCATCTCAACTGGATCATCAAATCTTAATAAGACAAGAGTTATTTCAATAGAAGGTGGAGGTTACGGATTGATGTATTTTGACAAGAAAATGTGGGTTTCTAGAACACATGGCATTAATATATACAATATAAAAGGAAAACGTACAAAAAGGATAGGTGAAAATAATTCACCCCAGACGAAATTTAAATCAATCTTTATTCAACATATGGCCGGTTCGGGTGACACGGTTATTGTGACAGATTTTTGTGATGGTGCTGTGTGTTTGAATAAGGATGGTACAGTTTTGAAAGAACTTCGGGATCAAAAGCTGCGTATAACTCGAGGTGTTTGTGTAGCTGATGATGGCACCGTCTTTTTGTGTGGTTATGCTTCCGATAATATTGTGATGTTCAGTAAAGAGGGAAAATGTCTTGGAGAGTTGATTGCATCAGATCCTGGTTTGAAATGCCCTGTTAATATGTTGTTTGACAACGTTAACAACAACATTGTTGTAATATGTGATAACAATAACAATATCTTTGTCATAGAACTGGAATAATAGTATGTTTCAGTATAATCAACCTCGTATACTCATTCTATATTAAGATATTCATTTACTTGTGAAAACCATTGATTACAAAATATTATACTTTATATCATACCATTAATTATAAATATATAATGGCAAAATACATGTATAACTTGCAAACTAACATACATGTATAACTTGCAAACTAATAGATCAATTTTACATTTACAATGTATTCAATTCAAAATTTCATGTTTGTACCCTTATACAGCTGAATTAACGTGATGCATTTTGTTACAGTCCATTCAAAGTTAAAGAGATTTCATGATCAAAATTTAAAAATAAGAGAGCTACCAGCAGTAGAGTAATTAAAAGCCTGCGACACTAGTCAAATTACATTGATGTTGACCTGTAAATGCTATTCAGTTATGGTTTTTAAAGACTTGGGGTTAAAATTATAAGTAAAGAGAAAAGTTATGTAGAATTTTTAACATAATACTTTTTGCTTGGTTTAAGAAACAAAGGTAGATGAATATTCACAAAAAAAAAACATTGAAAGTGTGTATGCACATGTATATTTTTGATTACATCCAAGATAAGTCATGTAAATCATAAATGTATACATACCATAGTTATATATTATAAAACCGGAATAAATTTTCTTTTTATATAGTGATCACCTGTAATGCTATTTTATTATAAAAATGTTATAAAAACTTCAAATTTCCTACCACACCCCATTCCCACGCCTTTCCTAATCCCCGCCCTACAGCGAGCAAAAGCAATGATGGCCTATATATCTCTCCGTAGCTACTACCAGTATGATCTCTGATGATAATGTTCATGGAAATGCACGATTAACTCCATCAAAAATAAGAGCTGTCACAGAAGACAGCGAAGCTCAACTAGTTAAATACTGGCTGCAGTAAGGAAGAAAAAACTATGAAAGAAAAATCATTTCTGATATAATCAAATGTTTTTTATTTTGCACAACATAATATGCATATAATCTTGTCAATAAATGTTTAACAGACATTTGTTTTAATGGAAAAGACAGCACTTTGAAATATAAAGTAAATCCCTTTAAAAACAAAAATTATAACAGCGAAATGAATTTGAAGTTTTTAAAGTAAAATCATAAGTTCAAAGAGGAAATGACTCTTGAAAAAGATGCTATAGTTAGGAACTTTGTCATGCATGATGTGAGTAATGAAAAAGAAAAATTATTTATCTTAAGTCTAGAGTAGATACCATTTGTAATAACAAAGATAATTCTATAAAAAAATCAACTTAAAATGATTTTAAGTTCCAAAATTAAATGGAAATAATTCTGGGAATACAGGAGCTTCAGTTTAATAACTCTATATGACAAGAAGTTATAGTAAAAAATATATATTTGTTAACATAAATTCCAAATTCAAGGGGAATGATTCTGGAAATAGTCAAGTTTAAAGTTATGAACCTTGTCAAACAACATGTATGTAATGGAAAAAAAATATATATTGGAAGTTTGAAGTAGATACAATGTACCTTAAAAGTAAAGAAGGAAATTCAAAGTTCAAAGGGAGATAATTAAAAAAATATTGATTCAAGAGTTATGAACCTTATCACATAAGATGTGGTTTATGATAAGGAACATATATTCGAAGTTGATACCTTAAGAAATGAAAAAAGTTATAGTGAAAAATATTTTACTGCACCAAAACTTTAATCTGGACGCGAACGCCGACGTTGGGGGCGAGTAGGACAGCTCTTGATATACTTCGTAAAGTCGACTTAATGAGCAATGTCATAAGCCTCGTAATTAACTAGTGACCTAAAATACCATCTAAGTGCAGAGCTTAGCAATGGGGGTTTCATGAACAAAGTAGGAAATTTAGTCGGAATGACCTATACTACGGCAACTTCAAATGCCATGTAATACATAAGTAATGTTCTAAGAAGACTATCACAGATGTTTGTAAATATTTTGAAAAGAATTGATGGAGAATTGATAGAGACTACTTGTGGAAAAAAGGAAACAATAGCTTTGCTGTCATTACCTTTGATCGAACAAAATTGTGGCGACTCATTCAAGCCTATAATACTAAATATTGGCCATTCGTTAAAATCACATTTTTAAAAGTCAAGTAACAAGGTCATAATATACATCAAATATATATACAGAATGCAATGTGTTAATTCCCCTGTCTGTGAAAACAAATGTCACCGGGTGATGGGTCATATTGAAATACATTCCAATTTTAAAACAGAACAAGTATTGCGAGTTATAGGTGATCAGATTTGACAATCGTTGATACTTTGATCTTAGCAGAAAAATAACCCAAAGGCTGGGCAATATACGACCGAATGTAAATTTGTTAATCTTTCAATCAGAGTAGCGACCCAATCAAGACATTTGTCTGAAAAATGTTTTAATCATCCTTATGATGTTATATGTCCGCTAAGGTGGAGGCATTTTCTACTCTTCTTCGAAGTGGGGCTAAAAACGCTGATTTGTCAAATTTTTGCAATTAAAAAAAATACTTCTCAGTCATTTAACCAGTTAATGTTTAATGTTGACAAACAAAACAGGCCTCATGTCCCAGTATTATTGGACTTACTTGTTATGATCAAGTTGATTGTTGTAAGCAAATTTCATTGGCTTACTTTGGCAAGTGGTACTCATTCTCATCACTTTCCATTTATAGGTCAACAAATGCAACAAAAAAAACGTTAAATTTCTAATGGTTTTAATAATTTTCAAAAAAATAACATGAAATGCAATGAGGAAACAATATAGTCAAGATGAAATCGCCATAAAATGAAAATGTCTGACTGTTGTCATCAAAAATAAAAATGCATCTTTAAATTTCTCCTCTTTCAATATGTTCTATAAATAAAAAATAAGTTATTGACTAACAATGTTTCTTGCCTTCAGAGTTTTGCAATATCAAATAACATCTTATATTGTACCCATCTCTTATTCATTGATCTCACCTTACCAGTTCACTCTGCCAAGGGAGGTAATCCCTGTGAGAAGTGTGACAGTGTATTTTCTTATAGTGTCCCTTTGTAATTGAAACTTACTACACATAATTCTAAACATTAGCGCAACACAGAACTTTATCAAATAAACTTTATTCATTTAGGTAATGATTTTCTTGCAATAAAGAGAGAAAATTTTATATAATTTTACAAAACTGTCACAAAGATTATTGAAAAACCAAGTGAAAAGTCATTTATTTCACACACAAAAAAACAACAGTTATTTGAAACACAAAACAACTGGTATTTTAAAAGCATTGTTGAAAGTACATGATGAATTCCTGATGAAAGATATTTTACATGACTTTTTGAAAGTTTTACAAGAAATATGAAACCATAAGAAAAATATTATAATTATTTTTAAGAAGCTTAGGAAAAAAGTTTTTAATGGAAAAGGGAGTACTTTTGCATAAAGAAATTGAAATAATTTTTTGAAATAAAACAATTTCAATGTTTGCTGGAAAAGGTTTTCAAATTGAAGAAAAAACTGTCTACAATAAATAATTTTATGAAGCTAATATTTTGCTTCTCACACACTTTACAAATTTGAAAAAAAGATGTTGATATATATTTTGGCACAATATGGAACCATAAATGAAAATTAAATTTCCAAGGCTATCATGTGTTAAAATGGTAGATTAAAATCAAATACACAATTATTGTTGATAGCGGAAAAGTTTTGAAAATGAAAATGAATCTAATGATACTCACTCAAGTGACATTATGACCAACCAAGGGTATAATATGTTGAGTGAAAAGGTGAAAGTCAAAATAAGTTAACATTTTGCTACAATGCTTCACACAAAGGATAGATATATGACTCATGTGGACCAAGGAAAATTATGTTAATATCCATTAGAATTTAGCAGTAACATTCAACTAATCAAAAGAGTGGTACAGTCTTTTTATATTTTAGGCAGATTATAATTTTACGCTAAATATTTTCTAGGATCAATTGTTATATATATGCTGGACTAGCTTTACAATAATAAGTGATTATTTGATAAAAGGTTATTTAAGGTTTTAATTTTGGTGGGTTCAATAACAAAATTGTAATAAATAAAAACCAATTCACCAGTACATGTATATAACATATAAAAAGTACTATAACACAGTAGATGATAACATAAATAGACAAACAAATTGAGCAATAACAAATGGGTAAACATTTCAACATGGCTGCATAGCAGAATTAGAGTTTAACATTAGTTTTCAGCACCTTTTAAATGTTATTCTTATTATAAACATATAATTATTATCCTTTCCTTATGAACAATTTTTTTATCTCCTTTCAAAATGTAATGTACTGCAGTAGATATTAATTCCATTATTATTCTTTTCTATGAACAAAAATTGTTTGTAAAAAATTATTTCTAACTCCTATCAAAATGTAATGTAGATATTATATCCCTATTTCACTAAATTGACTCTATTACTCTCACTACATTTCTATGTAGGGCCATGCTCTTTTTTCCCTACGCAAATTGCGCATGCGCGAGAAAATACTACTTTCGGTCAATTCTTAATAGCAACGGACCGCGTCGTAAAAAGGTTTATACGGAAAATATGCTTCACTGCAGTGAAAATACAGAAAATGAAAAAAAAAGCGTTTTATTTTATCAATATTTCTCAATATTGCGTTTGTAAAACTTTTAATTGGATAATCGTGACGTTTATATAGTTGCTGTCGCTTTATGAAGAAAATTTTTTCTCTAAAAAGATATGTCATTATTTCTAATGATAATAATTGATAAAGTGTACTTCATTTTATTTCACTTCGTTATTTGTAAAAAATATAAAAAAAAGAAGAAGATAGAAATAAACGAAAAGATAAAAATTGAACGAAACAAATGCAAATGCATCAAGAATGTCTAAATAGGTCGGGCATCTCTGACTGAAAACAATGCTGGCGTGACAACAGTAATCCAACAGGTAGCGACCAAGCATGACAAACGCTTCTTAAACGCTTCGGTCGATTTCATGGCTATGCAGAATTAGATATTTGATATGATTAAGAATTTGCAACTTATACAGCTTTGTTGATATAGCAATGATCATTGAAAAAGTCTGTTTTTTTTCTATCAATAACCAAATAAAAGTTAAAAACGATGCGTGTGTCCTACACAAGACAATCATTGGCAGGACAAAAACATAGTTTCGAGAGTGGATCAAAGGTTGCGTATCACAGACAACTATCATTAATTAGTGACGACATAAAAGGATGATTACATATCCAATATCTGTTTAAACAATCATTTAATGATATAAATAGATATTACAAAAATTGTCATATCCCATTTAAACACGATGCAAGTATGCCTAAGTCAAATCATGATCATAGATGTAAAGAATGAATTCTTGACTGTGTTTTGGAAAGGTAACCTAGCTTGAGGTAAAACAAAACTTGCATACTTTCTCATTCAAATGTAGTATTTACTAATCTATCGTTATTATAGTAACCTATGGTTGGACGGTTAAATGAGTATTTTATCAATTTTATATATTATTATCAAAAATGTTTGCATGTTGGTTTTTTACGTTTAAACATTATTTAAGATACAGATAATCAAATAATAAAAGACGGTATGATGGTTAAATATTTAAATGATTACGCTTAAATACATGTACATATGTTTATTTGTAACGATACACTTCAAACAAACTTTTGCAAAACTTATACTATCTAGAATTAATGCGACCTTAACTAGCTGTTTACGTCGCTTGATAAACATGTGATGTTAACCGCCATAACTATCAAACCGAAACAAGAATTTAACTTCTTTCAGGACAAGGTAAAACTTTCTAGTTTAATGTTGTTGTTTTTTAATGTTTGTGTTGAAAATTAGGTATATCGATACACAATTTATTTTATTCTTTTGACTGAATTCTACTTTTTATAAATCTCTTTCAGGCTTAAAAATTTCTTTATCGATTTTGTTTTCAAAATGAGGTCATGGACTGATGGATATATCTTAAGTTTATTTTATCTTGTTTCGGTTTCAACTTAACAGTGTTAAAGTAGTGTAGAAGGTGTGGGGTTTTGTCCACTCTATAAAATTCAGGTGTGGGGTTTTATTCAATCTATTAACTTATGAGGTGTGGAGTTTTGACATAAGGGGTTTTGTCCTACATTCGCCTATTGATTATGATGAGGAAAATATACAAAGACTTACATATTCATAATCAAAGGGCTGCAAGCTCTGTCTTTGTAATCTAAATCGTACTATATATGTGTTAGAGGCACCAGAGTTTGATACATACGGAATTTTGCATAACTAGAGTTGCATCAAAAAATCATTTATGTTCATTTTCTATGACAGCCACACTTTATCCTTGCATATCATGGCTTCTTCTTTAACACTTAAAAAAGAATTTGAAAAAAAGATGCCTCGACTGGGATTTAAACTCCGGACCTCTCACACACAAAACGAGCGCGTTACCCCTGTATCACGGAGAAGTTATACAAACAATGCCTGAATAAAATCAAGTCATTCTAAATTTAGAACTTCCATTGCATTTCGGTTTTGTAATCCTTATTTATTTCGAGGTATTTTGTTCAGGATAAACCTGTTTAAAATTGAAGTAAATATTTTAGCGAAAATCTTCTCGCCCAAACAGTCCGATATGTAGAACCTTTATATTCCACTCGGCAGTCAGATTTATTTGTGTAGTATTCGGTAATCGACATCGCTAAAAATAGTATTTTTATTGATTTAAACCATATTCATCCGTGTAATTTGTGATTGTGCATTTATTGACAATTCTATAAGCCAACTCTTCTTTTAAACTTTGAATGAGTTGTAATTTGTTGGATACTTGTAACAAAATAAGAATATTTCTTTCTTTTAAATCGCTAGATTTAAGCTGTTTTGAGAACTATTTGTTGTTAGGTTTGTCGTCAGAGATTGAATGTCCGCTTTGTATTTACTGCTCTTCGATCAGAAAATACAAAAAGCTAAATTAAACAATTTCGCCATTAACGGCATGAAAAAAATGCAAAATTGCTATAGTGAAGTACATTAATCAATTTTTGATTCGTGTCTTGTATGAATCATTCTACTCATTGCCTAATGATAAAAAATACAGTGTAGTTTGACTTTGGTTGTCAAGGATGTAAGATATGTTATCATTTTCATTTTGCTAAATTACATCTTAAGAATTAAATGCGTTATTTACAATACATTTTTGTTGTATATGTTGAGGTATTGTGTGCTTGCTGTAATGTCAACATAAATGATTCCATCCATTTATTTGTAAACTTTGTTAAAACTTACATGTTCTCTGGGTGAGATTATATGAAATTAATTGTATATCGGGGCTATCAATTACAGATAAAAGTTGCTTAGTCCCTTGTTGCATAGTTCCGGCCGATTGGCCGAGGGAAAAAACGTTATAAATCGTAAGGTGTTATCTTGTAAATAAAGGCGCATGCTTGAGTTACATATCATGTTTTAGGAAGTAAATTCTAGGATAAATGTGTTGTATTCTGTTATATGTCAAATAAGTATATATAATATTAGCATTAGACATAATAGGCACTCAATAAATCTTTTTAAAATACTATCAAATGTATTCTTTTAAAATCAGGAGTTACTGTAATTATCTCCCACATTCAATAATTGTGGTTTGAAAAGTTACACTCTTTACCATAATATTTAACAAAAAGTTTTTTTAAACAACTTTTCAAGACAAAAATGTTCGTATTTTAAGGTTATCGAGTACTTTCGAAATAATTGGATTGTCATACGTTGGCGTTTATTCCATAAGTGACATTAACGGGAGACATAAACATGGTAGAGTCAGTTAATAATTTCTTTGTAATTTTTGTGTAAAGAAAGGCATGTAGACATTCTAGACGTCATAGACACAAATATATGATTTTGACAGTAATGAAACGCCTCGCCTTTTTTATATTCAGGGATATCAACTTTTAATCATTGATAATCATTCTGATGCAATTAACTGTCCTCATTGTTAACAAACAAGACACATGAGAAACCATACTCTTTCCATTGATCTTATTCATTGAAATATTTATTAAAGTGACTTTTTAATTCAAAAATAAATGAGCTCCACTGAGATCAAAAGCGTTAAAAACATAAAATTTGAAATTGTAACACAAATCAAATGAAACACTTAAAATGGAAAAGAAATTAAAGGAAGATAAATGAATATGCTCAAATTTAAATTAGATATCGATTTTTTTGTTGTGCGATTCTAGGCCGATTTGAGCGATAAGCATGCAACACGTTTCATTTTGGGCCATTTTGCATAGCCAAATTGAGTATTCTGGCAAAAAAAGAGGTGAGAGAATGATCTGAAATATTGGTCCTGATCCTGATCAAACGATACACAAATCTCTGGAAAATATTTAAGTCCTTTCATGTCATAACAAAATTATAGTTGAGCCCTGTTAAATGTAAAGATGTTAAAAATACTATTCGCATGCTTTATTTTAGAAGGTTGGTTAATAAAATATCAGTCATAATTTAAGTAGTAAAAATATGTTATAACTGACATTTTGCTTTCCAGAATTCACACACATGTGGTTATATTTATTTCATACAGGACTGTAAAATGGCTGAAGGAGGTGAAAAACAGTTATTAAAAGATGGTTCTGATGCTGACTTTGATCTCACATGCACACCTTGTGGAGAAGACAATATAAGAGAAGAGGCTATCAAATATTGTCCTGACTGCCAGGAGTACCTTTGTATCACTTGTAGTCAGCATCATGGTCGGCTAAAGGCTACAAAGAGACATGTGCTTGTTGATAAGAATGCAGCCAAACAATGCTTAGTTGTTGCCAAGGCCAAATGCCATTACCACCAAGATCGTGACATTGAAATGTACTGCAAAACACATGACATGGTTTATTGTGTTATGTGCATTGCTACAGAACATAGGTATAGACATTTGGTATTATTATATGCAAATTTAGAAGTAGTTTAAGTTGATACATTTTTGTCAAATTAATATAGTAATGTTCTACAACTTCAATCAGATTGGCATTCTTATGCATTAATTGCAACTTGCATATTGTATAGATATTAAGTGTATTTGAAATAACTACAAAACTAAATTATAAATCATTTTATAATTATTTTCTTATTAAAGATTATGTGAGGGCGTTAACAAAATAGAGGCCGTGTCTAAATCGTGTGTAAATCAGACAGAGATTCAACAATTGTTATACGAAACAAAGAAGGCAAAAGACGTCTTGAGTGTCACGGTAAACAAACAAAATGGTAACCTTACATCCATTGATAAGCAGAGGAAGGTAATCCAAGACAAACTGGATAGTACTGAAATGAAGTTAGTAGAGCATATCCGTCAAATAAAGATAAGGACAGAAGATTCTTTAAATGAGAAGCATGCCTCCTTGAAGGAAAAACTTAATTTGAGCATCGGCCAAACTTCTTGCAAAATAAAGGATTTAGAAGAAAATGAAAAGCAGCTGCAAACGGTAACCAACCTTGATATACAGCAACAATTTGTTCACATGAAATTGATGAGGAAAGCTGCTACAGACGCCTTAAATTTACAAACAAGTATTGCATCTGATGGTACATTTTCCTTATATTACACAAGTGATACAAATTTGGATAGTTTGGTCATGGCTGCAAATGTTTTAGGTCAGGTGATATCAGACGATGGTGGCAAGAAAGTTTCTGAACCAAAACGCTACAGAATAAAGTCGAAGAGAGAAATCAATGTGAAAATGGACAACGATGCATCGCGATGTAGAATAATGGATATATGCCAACTCCCTGACAAGCATATCCTTGTTGCTGACAGTGGAAATAATAAAATAAAAGAACTAAACGTAGACTACCTTATAATAAATGTTTGTGACATTGAAGCTTCACCTAGAGGTATATGTTTCATCAGTAAAAATGAAATAGCTGTAAAGATGGCTAACAGCAAAGTCCAGTTTATATCAACTAAATTGTCAAATCTTACCAAGACAAGAATTATTTCAGTAGCAGATGGAGGTCTTTACGGAATGATATGTGTTGATGACGGCATATGGCTTTCCATAGCAGATAGAATTTATATATACAATACAGCAGGGACACTCGCAAAAAAGATAAATAATAATGATATATTCAAAAATAACGTTAAAATTACTTGTGTTCAACATATGGCTGTTTCTGGTGACATGGTGATTGTTACAAATGCCTCTGATGGTGCTGTTTGTTTGAACAAGGATGGTACAGTTTTGAGAGAACTTCAGGATGGAAAGTTGGTTAAAACTCGAGGTGTTTGTGTAGCTGATGATGGCACTGTCTTCTTGTGTGGTTATACTTCCGATAATATTGTGATGTTCAATAAAGATGGAAAATGTCTTGGAGAGTTGATTGCAGCAGATCCTGGTTTGAAGAGTCCTATTAATATGCTCTTTGACAAAGTAAACAACAACATTATTGTAACATGTGACTTCAATGACAATATTTATATCATCGAACTAGAATAATGATATGTTTCAATCTCGTATACACCTTCAATTGGAATGAATTCGTTTACTTGTGAAAACTCTTGATACAAACCATTGATTATAGATATACAATGACATTATACATTTATGTTAACTTGCAAATTAATATATCAATTTTACATTTACAGTTTATGCCATCCAAACTTTTTATGTTTTGTACCCTTATCCGGCTGAATTTGTGGGATGCATTTTGTTACAGTCCATTCAAAATTTAAGGTATATCAAGATCAAAATACAAAAAAAATTGAGCTGCCAGCAGTAGAGTAGTAAAACATTTGCTAAATGGTCAAAGTGTATGGATGTTGACAAGTGAAAGCTATCCAGGTATGGTTTTAAAAGACTGGGGTTAAAATAATAAGTACTGGAGTAAGAGAAGAGTTATGTGTAGAATTGTTCCCATGTTATTTTGCTTGGTTTTAGTAAAAATACGTTCATGTTAAATTATGGATGTTTACATACCATAGTTATTTATTTCAAAGTTGAATAAATTTCTGTAGAATTTTAGTAAGTTTTGGTCATAGTGATCATTTTAACGGTATTTTATCAGCATATTATGATGTTATAAAAACAACAAATTTCCTGACAAACCATATCCCCACGCCTTTCCCAAACAAGAGGGCCATGATGACCCTAAAGTCGCTCACCTGTATATAGGCCCCCGTTGCGGGGCCAATTTGACCCCAGGGCTCTTATTTGAACGAACTTGGTAGACATCCATTAGAACATGTTTCATGCTGATTATCTTAGCTCTAGCTCTTTGACACTAGGGACAAAATTTGAACAACTTTGGTAGAAGACCCATAGATAATACCATATACCAAAAATCAAAGCTCTGGCCCATGTACTTTCAGACAAGAAGATTTTTTAATTTTGTGTTTTTTGAAATCCTTTTCTGGTCCTATGACCTACATATGCAACAGACCGGAACCATTTGAACAACTTTGAAAGGGGACCACCCAAGGATCATTTCTGTAAAGTTTGGTTGATGTGCAGTCATTGGTTTCAGAGGAGATGTTGTTAATGTTCAAAAGTTGACGACGCACGACGGACACAGGGCCATCACAATCGCTCACCCTGAGCATTGCTGAGGTGAGCTAAAACAATGATGGCCTATTTATCTCTCTCCTAGGTAAGAATGTAGCTACTACCAGTATGATCTCTGATGATGATGTTCAGAGAAATCCCATGATAAAATTGAGAAATACCTTCAACCTCGTAATTAACTGGTGACCTAAAATATCATGCAAGTGCAGTGCACCATGTAAGGTACGTAAACGAGTACACGTATATCAAATATCTAAGTTGTCCATCGGTTGCCCTTCAATACTGGGGATTTCATGAACATAGTAGGAAAAATATTGTCTGAATGACCTGAATGACTCCAGCAACTTCAAATGGCACGAAATAGTAAATGGTCTATCAAAACTATCGAAGATATTTGTGAATATTTTGAATAGAAATGATGAAGACTACTTGTGGAAAAGGAAAAAAATAGTTTTGCTAAAAGGAAACAATAGCTTTGCTGTCATTGCCTTTGATCAAACACAATTGTGGCGACTTTTTCAAGCCTATAATAATTAATATTGGCCAATCGTTAATTAAAAGTGGCCAATTTGACGTGTCAAGTTTTGTAGTCACCAACAAGGTCATTTTATACATCAATACCTATATAGAATGCATAGTGTTGAGTAAACAAATATCAACAGGTGAGGGGTCATTTTGAAATGCATTCCAATTTTAAAACAGAACAAGTATTTCAAGTTAAAAGTGATGAGATTTGACAATCATTGATCTTAGCAGAAAAAACCCAAAGGCTGGGCAATATACGACCGAATGTAAATTTGTTAATCTTTCAATTATAGTAGCGACCCAATCAAGAAATTTGTCTGAAAAATGTTTTAATCATCCTTATGACATTATATGTCCTCTAAGGTGGAAGCATTTTCTACTTTTCTTCGAAATGGAGCTAAAAATGTTGATTTGTCTACTCTTTTTGCGATTTTTAAAAAGTACATCTGAATTGTTTTAACCAGTTTGTTAATGTTGATAAACTAAATTGGCTTCATTTCCCAGTATTATTGGACTTACTTGTTAAGTGCAAGCTGATTGTTGTAAGCAAATTGCATTGGCTTATTGTGGCAAGTAGTACTCATCCTCATCACTATACATTTAAAGGTCAACAAATGAAACAAAAACACCAACTTTAAATTTCTAATTGTTTTAATAATTTTCTAAAAAATAACATGAAATTCAATGAGGAAACAATATAGTCAAGATGAAATCACTATAAAATGTAAATGTCTGACAGTTTTCATCAAAAATAAAAATGCATCTTTAAATTTCACCTCTTTCAATATTAGGAATGTCCGCTATAAAACAAAATAATAATTTGGTTTCAAGTATAAACTATTATCTGGCTGTATAAAGATATATAATAGTTTGTTAACAGTTATGGGCTAACAACGTTTCTTGCCTTCAGAACAGAAATTTAATTTTTGCAATATCCAATTACATCTTATATTGTACCAATCTCTTATGCAGTGATCTGCCCTTTAACAGTACAATCTGTCAAGGGAGGTAATCACTGTGAGAAGTTTGACATTGTACTTTCTTATAGTGTCCCTTTGTAATACCAAACACAATTCTACACATTAGCGCAACACAAAATAACTGGTATAAATGCATTTTTTTTAAAAATATGAAAATGATGAATTGCTGATTAAAGATATTTTACATGTCTTTTTGAAACTTTTACAATGATTCTGAAAACATAGAAAAAAAATATTATTTATAAGAAGCTTAGGAAAAAAGTTACAATGGAAAAAGGGTGTACTTCTGCTTAAATATTAAACCTTAAAAAAATTCAAATATTGTTTTAAAACAAAATAATTCCAATGCTTGCTGGAAAATGTTTTAAAATTTAATAAAAAAAACTGTATACAATGTACTATTAATAATTTTATGAAGCTTATGTTTTGCTTCTCACACATTCAAATGTTTCAACTTTACAGATTTGAAAAAAAAATGTTGATATATATCTCGGCACAATAAGGAACCATATATGAAAATTAAATGTGCAAGGCTATCATTTACTAAAATGGTAGATTAAAGTCAAATACACAATTATTGTTGATAGCGGACCAGTTTTGAAAATGGAAATGAAATTCTAATTAAAGTCATACTTAAAGATCTTGTAATGCAATTTTTTATGGTTTTATATAATAAATCTGATGCTCAAATAAAGATTTATCAATACTGTAAGTTACAGTTCCAGAAAGCATTATTTGTAAAGATATTACCGAAATTAACAGTTCATATAAATACAGGGAGGTAATTATAAACTTATTGTCGACAAAGTGTAGGGTAGTGTTTTCAATAAAAATTAAATAAATTTCAATGTTTAATTTTTATGTGAATAAGCATTAAATTTTGCTATACATACATGTATTTAACATATTCTTGGATGTTTGGAAATTGTTTAAGAAGAAAAATTATGTACACATATAAAACTTCATTTAACTGCATGTTACATCTTTAATTACGACATACAGGATCGTTTTATTAAAGAGCCAACATTACAACCTATCATACAATTGTATCATGTGTGTTGACTGGTAAGACTATATATGTGACGGCTGACCATGCTTTATTATAACAAGTGATTAGTTAATAAGTCATAAATAACAAGCAATTATCATAGTATTGCAAGCAATCCATAAGTCCCCTACCGGTTTAGAACCCCATCAACATTCTGAAGGGCCATTGGCCATTCACTAATGTTTCAATTTTTCTCTATGTTTTAAGTTAATTTTTTGAAAAAGTTCTTTAAAAGTGATCACAGGAAAAAGTTTTTATTAACAGACAGACAGATGGACTGAAGGACACTCTAAAGTTAATATTTGAAACTTATCACATAAACCGCGGCGCAGGAGTGTAATAAAGCCATTTAAAGATCCTGTATGTTTTGTGATTGATATTTTTACTGTGTGTATACCACTCTTGCAAAAAGTTATATATATATATAATTATGCAAATTAAACAATTTTCAAACATCGAAGAATATGTAAAATGTGCACTGCAAATATTTGTGCACATTATATTTAATCAATAAATTTTATGCATTCATTTCTTATTGGAAAATTTGACTTAGAATTTATAGAAAATTAATTTCTTATTACCCCCCTTTATTCACATGAAATGTTATATTCGGTAATATCTTTATAAATAATGCTTATTGGAACTTACAATATTGACAAATCTTAATTTGAGCATCATATTTATGAAATTAAACCATGAAAAAAAATGTGTTACAGGATCTTTAACAAAAACGATATTACACTAGACAATATTACACTAGTGTAATAACACTTTGACGTCACGTCATTTGCACTATAAACATAGCGTTAAAGCGCGCTAATATTAGCGTTACACTATAGGCTCGTCAAAGAAAAATGACTTTTGTTAACAGTTTACCGTTCTTATTTTATATATGTGATAAATAGAATATCATATTCGTGTAGATTCAATACTAAATTTATTGAACTCGTTGAATAAAACAATATTATGCTCGCCAGAGGCTCGCATAATATGATTTTATTCAACTCGTTCAATAAATTTAGTATTAAACCTACACTCATTCAATATCCTCTATATCCCTGTTACCAAAATATAACATTTTTAAAAGCAAAATTCTTAAAGAGGAGATAACTCTTGAATAAAAGATGCAATTTCATAAAAAAAAATCAGCTCTTTTTGACTAATCACAAATATTGTTATATTTGCCATGTTTTAAGCCTATTTGTTGCCAAGGCAATCAAAATTTTTTCAAAATAGGAAGAAAAGATAAGACATGCATAATCTCCAGACTGCCATCTACCCATATGTCAAGTTTCATAAAAATATTTCCAGTACTTTTTGAGTTATCTCTGGATTCAGTTTATGTGTAAAATTTGCCATATTTTCAGTCTATGTGTTGCCATAGCAACCAGAATTTTCAACATAGGAAGATAAGAAAAAGACGTGCATAATCTCCAGACTGCTATCTACCCATATTTCAAGTTTCATAAAAATATTTCCAGTACTTTTTGCGTTATTACTGGATCCAGTTTATGTGTAAAATTTGCCATATTATCAGCCTATTTGTTGCCATAGCAACCAGAATTTTTAACATAGGAAGAAAAGAAAAGACGTGCATAATCTCCATACTGCCATCTATCCATATATCAAATTTCATAAAAATATTTTCAGTACTTTTCAAGTTATCACGGGATCCAGTTTTGTGGACGGACGGACTGACGGACTGACAGACTTGTGCAAAAAAGGAAACAATAGCTTTGCTGTCATTACCCTTTCATCAAACACAATTATGGTGACTCATTCAAGCATATAGTACTAAATATTGGCCAATGGTTAAAGGGAAACAATTTGAAAAGTCAAGTTTTGTAGTCGTCAACAAGGTCATGTTTTACATCAACTGTCTATATAAAATGCATTGTGTTGATT